TCATGGGAGTTAAAGGGTTAAGTGTTTTGATAGTGAAGGCAAATAAACAACAGATGGGATGAAATTAGAATTTCGCCTCAAAAGAATCCCCAATTTTCCCTTCCACTTAAGGGTTAAGGTAATCACAGTTTTCTTTATGGTTTTTTGAAATGAAATGAAACTCTTGTGTTTGGCTTTCTTGTGTTTTCTAAACCTTATTATTTTTTCCTTTTTCTTTTCATTAGTTATAGTGATAGGTGTATCTGATGGTTCTTTTCTTTGCATTTATTTCAGCATCATCCATCATGCTGCGAACTGACCACTGGCTTCGCCTGGCTTCCAAACATATCCAATGGCTTAGATAAAGATTTATGTAAGTGAAAAATAATTACAGATTCTTTTTAGTTTGTAATCTACACAAAGAGGAGGCTTATATCATTATTGAATAGGGATTGAGGGAAGGAAGGAGGGGTGAGGGAGCTCTTCAGTTCCTTGGTTACCCATAAAACCTGTAATTTCAAGTAGCTACTCCTGTTGTGTGTAGAAACCTTCAGAGTTGTGATATCTATGTTACTCGGTCATGCAACTGTCTCGGATGAGTCCTCCTTTGTTACAATGCTCTCTGCTACAAATTGCTATGCTAATGAGTCAGAATAGAATCGATAATGAGTTACTCAGGCTCCAAAAATTGTTCCTGGAGAGCTCTTATACTTACGATTCGCCCTATTCCTTGATCACCCATATCAGCCTTTGTAGGCTGTTTATGAATTCCATAAGTTTAAAAGAGCTAAGAAATTTTGCACTTTGATTCGTAAGCGGGTTTTTTTGCCTCTAAAGTAACGTCTTACCTCACTTTACCAGTAAATTGTCCTCAAGGAAAGTGAAGTGCGGGAAAGTAATGTGTAATTCAAGTAGGCGTTAATGAAGCATCCCTGTTCCCAGACCTCTCGCCGATTGGAAGAGCTTGTGTTGGTTTGAAATAAGGGAAGGGAATATTTTTAAAGCGAAATCGATTTATTTCTTCAGGATAACCAGAGAAAGCTTTAACGTCAATATGCCCACATTATGAGGTGTAAGGTAATCCTGGAAATCTTTTTTTTAATCGCTCTCAACTTTGTGATATTGAAAACGTTAGTCATTACAGGCGTTCCTCTTTTTAACTATAAACGTGAATTTCATTTTTTGTAAAGGAGAACGTAGGTGCATCAAATGTTAGATTTGTTTTCATTTGTGTGTAGTCAGTCATTTAGCGTCAATCAATCCCACGATGCATGAAATCAAATCAATCGTCGCCTTTCAGTAGTCTGATGCGCATTGA